TATGCTACCTAGATATTAATTTATAAATATAAATATTTTTTTTAATCGTGTTAATAATAACTTCACACTGTACATAAACACGCTTTGCTTGTAGAATGTTTTATTTACATCGAATGACAAACTGGCATGCTGATCGGTCGACGCGCTGATTGGTTAACACGTCTTATCGCTAATCCTGATTGACAGATCAGTTACGCAACACCGAACGCGCGTTCGCTTGCTGGGTTCGCTACTGAATTTGGGGTTCGCTTTCGGCGTTCGCTCTGGGTCCGCTGCGGGTTCGCTCGGGGTGCCCTCCGGGTTCGCTCGGGGTCCGCTATAGCGAACCCCAAGCGAACCCGAAGCGAACCCAGGCAGCGAACCCGGGGTGCGCTTTGGGTTCGCTTTCTGTTAGGTTGTGTCTGGTCGGTACTGTAAACAGGAAATTCAAATCTTTGTGTCACAATCTATCATCTCTGAACGTTTCAAGACTCAATCTCAAAGCGTTTCTGAGAACACTGGCGGAGAAAATGCAACTTTAAAAACAGAAAATTGGCTGTATCTCGCGACCGGAAGTGATGACGGCGAAATTAAAAAAACGCCCTGAGTTCAGATGCTTTGCCATCACTGCTGAAAGTTTCATGAAAATCTATTCAGGTGTTTTCGAGAAATCGCCTGCACAAAATCGGTAAGAAAAAATAATAATAGTGGAAAAGAAACAACAGAATCAGTGGAAGGTCTTCCGTTGGAAAGGGAAGACCTCAATAAGAAACAGTGTAAAAACAATATGTTCCCAAACTTCGTTTGGGAAACATAACAATGAGTAAGTGAATGAATGAACGAATGAAAGAAATTCATCAACATGCTACCGCTACCCTTTTTTCCCCCTTTAAAGCCCAAACACAGAAAACTGAAACTATGTTTTAAAGTCAATGTGCATGGTATTTTCATCAACGGATAGTTTAAAAATATATCTGTAGATTTTAAATTATGTAATTGGATTCATGTCATTAAAACGAAATATCCCTCTGCTCTAAATTTCACCATTTTTTTTTATTCCCAACATTGATTTTCATCAACAACAATAGCATTAGAATCAAATGGAAAATAGTTTGACGTATGAAGCGTTGCTTAATTTTACAGAAATTTAATAACGATATGAAGGAAATTTGATATGGTGCAAAGAAAGATCAATATTTTTTTTTTATCTCAGCATAAAATTAAAAATATAAGATATATATGAAAATGATACTTACTGTCATACCTATTTAATTCATATTAGAAAACATAATAAATTAAGCGTTGCTTTTTAAATCAGAATATCACGTTGTTTTCTGTGCTTGTTAAATAAAAATGCATCCATCCACAAGGGTTATCATTCCATCTACAGGGGTCATCTTTCTTCAAAATATTTTTAAGAGAAAAAAATATTAATTAATTGATTATAAAAATTCTGTATCTAAAATCCCTGTGACAATTAAGAGAATTATATGTTAAGAGATAAAGATATCTCAATATTTACAGTTTAAAGGAGCTAAATATAAAATAATGTTTTAGGTAAACTATTATAAGTAATCAATAAAAATATTGGCAATAGAAAAAAGAAATCAGTATCTTTAACTTCGGTCAGATTTGATTTAATTGACTTCATAATGGTTCCTATTAGTAAACTCTGATAAGACAATTCATTGGATTGCTTGGAATAATTTCCTTCGAAAGGTATCTCTCTTATTTATTTTGGATACTTTACTATTTCTTTTTTTTTTATAAATATTCATACTGTTATAGATTTATCATTACCTGATTACAAAACGATGTTGACAAATATTCATTGGTACTTGCCTAGTGATTTTGTTACTGACAGGTAACTTTCTACATCACAGCTTTATCATACCACTCGACTTGTATTTGATTTTCAAGTAACTGATGTTGATTTTTCTTAAAACACTTTTTTGCAATGATTCGGCATGCGTCACATAAAGGTTCAATCCATTTTCAAACTTTTCACCATCAAACACTGCCACATATATATTCCTCAGGCATAGCAAGGCCTGAACAAACATTTAACTATGGATCGTACAAAATGCTACTCAAAAGGGGGGGGGGGGGTTAAATAACTGAAAATATCCAATTCAGATAGAATATTGACTCCGTGAGTCATGTTCTGCTCTGTACTCTCACTTTCATTTTCTTGATTTTGACGAAAGATTTTCAAATGGGGAAATTACTCTTGACAAAAAAGTGATTAAATTTAAAAGATTTTTACAAACTTTACAATCATTTTTTTTTTAATTAAATAATACCCCTCCAATATCTTAATATGTTCTTAAAACTATTTAGTGAAAAAAATGAAACATCAAAATATTCCACCAGTGGCTGCGTTTATGTCCACACTGTTATGTTTCCACTGGCTTTTAAAACATTTTTTGATATTATTTGGCTTTTATTGGCAGGTCCTAAATTTTTTTCTCATTTTTCTTGTGAAGAAAAACAATTTACAAATTATTTTAAAGCAAAAAATTTATAATAGTCAGCTATATTTATTAAATATATATAAATGGGATGAAATGATATTTGTTTGTATGGAAACAAGATCAATTGATGGATTTTTGTAAAATAGGCTTATTGCGTAAATATTTCACCGCGTTTCAACAAAATCGGTGACAATCAATTTCCAGCCCAGTTTGATGCTTACAGAGAGAACGACTCTTAAAAATTAATTATACATGTATAACTCAGTTATCCTTTTTCCTTTAGACTCTAAATCGGGTCTATATAAACAAGAAAGATGCTTGGTCTGTTATTAGTCTGCGTGGCCTATTAGTTTACGCAGAACTGTTTTGTGTTTGAGGTATCCTGTTCAAGCCCCCCAAACTCCAGAATTTTTTTTTTTTTTTTTTTTTTTTTTTTTTTTTGCATTATTGTTAGTTATTAGTACACATCTAATTATCCAATTTTTACTCAATCTAGTTTATTTTTAATCAACATATTTTCCACATAATATACATTTCAGAAATAAATATTATACAATTATTGACTCTTTCAATGGTGAATTGTTAGTTATTCACCAGAAAAAAATCTCTATTGACATTCGCCTCGGCCAATAATGTTAATGATATTGTTCTGGTGAATAATAAACCATATTCACAACCGAAAGAGTCAATTATTGTTTTATTATATAGTCTGGATTTGAATGAATATGACATCTGCATGGCCATTCCATTTCTCATTAACAAACTTCTGTCGTAGCAAAATAAAAATTGTCCAGATTACAACATATAACTTCCGTGTTTCCCTTTTGCTGTGTGTAAGACATGAAATGTTTGAAAAATAACCCTGCAATAGACTTGCCTAATAATATTCCTGCTCAGAAATACAGCTGGCTCCGGCTGTTGCAACCATTGTTTTCAAGGTTGTTTGTGGCATTGATTGTGACATCATAATACCGCTGCACGCTCACTGACCCTCCGCTGAATACGGGTTTAAATCTAGTGAAAACTGTATATGAATTTACGACCCTGAACTTTCACCTTTTGACCTCAAAATCAATAGGGGTCTCCCTTAGGCCACAGGCAGTTGTTATGTAAAATTTCAGTGCAAAAGCTCAAAGGATTCTTGAGATATCGCGCGGAAACGAAAGTGTTAAAACAGCCAGAATTTATGAATTTATGACCTTGAATTTTGACCGTTTGACCTCAAAACCAAAAGGGTTCTTTTCTAGGCCATAGGGAGTTGCTATGTAAAATATCATTGCGATAGCTCAAAGGGTTCTCGAGATATCGCGCGGAAGCGGAAGTGTTACAGACAGACAGAAATACAGACGGACGGACGGACAGACAGACCCAAATTAATATCCCCCACTTTCAGTGAAAGCGGGGGACTAAAAATGGATACGTTGACGACGTACATAAGATGCACAAGTAGTTCCCGAAATGAATAGTGATGTAGAATTTTCATGATAACAAAAATCTTTTAAACAGTCAAGAAATTATCTTGATGCATTATTCTGTAAAATGTCAATCAAAGCAAAATATTAACATTTTGAAAAGTATTTTATTTGATTTTAGTGATACATGTATACTCGTATGTGCAGAGAGGCTGGTTGTGAAGTCATCAAAGAGAAATTTCTCGTACATGTATATAGTTTTGTTTCTCGTGAATTTATAGCCCGAATCTGAGCATAAGTTTAGGGGTAAATATTTTAAACGATATACATGTAGAAGTAGTTCTGAATATTTTTCACAAAGTTGGTTTTCTATATGCACCAACTAAATCAATTAATAATAACAGGTACGTTCCATTTAAACGTGGTAGGAAGGCGAAATACTGGGAAAGTGCGCTATACCTAATACATTTCTTGTTTATATTTAGGAATTCTCAGTACTGTAATGGACTTTTGCGAAAAGCGCTGACTTTTACAATCGACGGCTTAATTCTACACTAGGACAATATATGGAAGCTCTTTTGCGATATAAATATTAAGCTTAACAGTTAATTAAACGATAAATAATGGACCATTTCAAAGCACATATTACGTTGAATAGGTAGAGAACCGCAACCGCCCTACCCTCAATCCCTTCCCTTCCTTTCCCATATTGACCAAATACTGCTTAGTTTTCCGTCCGGAATGTTTTTTCTTTCTTTTTTGATTCTTTCCGCAAACAAGATTGAAAGGAGATACTACCCCTCACAAATAAGGTTAGTTAAGTTATGTGATTCTGCTTCCCATCATCTTTTGCGTTGATTTCATAGCAGTTAATTGTGTCAGTACCCCAAACACCATGTCTTTAACCACTTTTCAGGTTTTCTTATCTATTATAAATTCCGTACCTCCGTACATAGGACGGGTTTAAATGTCAAAGTAAGCCGTCGACTGTAAAATTCAGTGCTTCTAGCAAAAGTCCAATAAGAGGGATAAGTAGTCCATATCTCTATCTTGATAAGGATTATATCTTAATCTCAAGAAGAAAAACCATCGAATAGTAGATATATATAAGATAATAGCTAAAATGTATTTTCAGTGAAAATTATTTTGGAATCCAACAACAGTCTTCCTATAATTGCTGGGGGTGCTGCTGGAGGAGTGGTCTTTGCTGGGTTAGTTGTGATTGGGATACTATTTCTTCTTCGCAGAATTAATTCAATAGGTAATGTATTTTGTATGTATATATATATATATATATATATATATATATATATATATATATATATATATATATATATATGTATGTATGTATGTATGTATGTATATATATATATATATATATATATATATATATATATATATATATATATATATATATATATATATATATATATCTGCCGTCATGAGAAAAGGGTCCTTAAGGTCAAAATTTCACAAATTGAATTTTTGTTAAATTTTGATAGCCTGACTCTTTCTGAATGCAAATATATATATATATATATATATATATATATATATATATATATATATATATATATATATATATATATATATCAATTTTTAAAATATCTCACTTTATCAGTATTTTATGAGCATTTTAGTAAGGCCGCTTCAAAACAACGTCGACGTTACTTACTGAAAACGTAATGACGTCACATGCGTCAAATTCAGTTTCCAAACATTCTTTTAAAAACTACACTTTTTAAAAAAAAAACCTTAGTTGTTTTGACTCATATAAACTTGAGAATGTTTTTTCTTCCAAGCAACTAATATGTAATTATTCATGAGGGAAGTCGCATATTTTCATATTACATTAGAGCAAGTCTAGTAATTTCGTAAAGGGTGGGGTGGGGGTCCTGGGGGACAGGACATAGGAATGGTTTTTATTTAGTCGAAAAATTAATACTTGTTGAATTCCACATCAAAAGGTATTTTTTTTCATATTCGCACCAAACTTTACTCTGTTCCTTTGAAACTTTTAAATAGTCTTCTTGAAAAGGTCAAGGAAAGTCAATTTTTTGATTCCTCGACACCAGAATATAGGCTCGGATCTGTGATTATGGATATTGCAAATCATAGGCTTTTTAAACCCCACGTTTTACTGAGGAAAATGCAGCTAAACCAATCCGTTTTCTCCTTAAACTTCAATATGCCAACAAAGGAATTGACGCAGTTAATATAAGTAATATTCTTAATCACTAAAGGGTCCAGTCTTGTATTCCACCATATTTCAAGTTGTATTTCTTACAAATATACATCGACTATTGCTTCCAAACTTTTTAATTACAAGAAAACTTTACAGGGCCTGGATATCGAATATCTGAAACATAATCCTCCATAGTGTTTATGTTCTTCTTCACCCTATAACTATAGTCCTGCTGGACACGTTATTACTGGTGACGCAAATATAGTTAATAATGAGGACCTTAGATCACTAATTTTAAAAGGTCCTAAATATAGGGAACCCCGATCCTTCAACTGGCGTTGGAATTTCATAAATATTATGGATTCTGTAGAGGACTACGCCAGGCGATGGGCCAGACATGAAAAAGAAGACCTTGACACTTTGTCAGAATGGATTAAATGTATCAGATGTATGTTAAAATCGCGCATAAAAAGATTGAGGGGCAATATGAGAACCATCTATCCTTCTGTATTCAATAATCCAGAAGTGAAAAAAGAATTAGATAGATTACATGATCAGTACGTACTGGTCCCTGCTGACAAAGCAGGTAACAACATTATCTTTGTTTGTAAGGCTCATTGTATTAAATGTATTTTAGAGGAACTTGGATTTAATTATACAAGTGGTAATCTAACTTATGCTCAAAGTTCCCTTTCTAAGGAAGAAATTCCTCAAAATCATATGTCAGTTTTGAATATTTGTAATATTCCAAACAACCATAATGAATTTGAATTACCATATTTATATTGGATTCCGAAACTTCATAAAAATCCTTACAAACAAAAATACATAGCAGGTTCCAGTAAATGTTCAACCAAGCCTCTTTCTTTACTCCTCACTAAGATATTAACAATATTGAAGGAGAATCTTCAAGAGTACTGTGCAACAATATATTCGAGAAGTGGTGTAAATCAGATGTGGATACTTAAAAATTCCAAGGAACTTTTGGAAAATTTGAAATCACAAGATTTTACCAAAATCAACAGCTTAAAAACTTACGACTTTTCAGCTTTATACACAACCATTCCCCACGATAAATTAAAGTCCAGGCTTTTTGATATCATTGACAGCTGCTTTTTCAATAAAGATGGAACTCGTAAATTTACTTACCTTGTCATTGGTCATTTGCAAAATTATTTTGTTAAAAAGCATTCTGATTGTACACACAAGTACTCTGAAGTTGACATTAAAAAGATGCTTGAGTTTCTGATTGACAGTATCTATGTGGTTTTTGGAGACCAGGTCTTCCAACAATCTATTGGAATTCCCATGGATACCAATTGCGCCCCGTTATTAGCAGACCTTTTTCGTATTCATATGAAGCAGAATTTGTCCAAAATCTTGTACGTGAAAAGAAGAAGACACTTGCTGTGGCCTTCAACTCGACATTTAGATATATCAACGACGTATTGTCAATTAACAATGGCTATTTTCATTCTTATGTCGATACGACATATCCTTGTGAGCTTGAGATAAAAGACACCACAGAGTCTGACACATCTGTTTCCTATTTGGATATTTTATTTGAAAAAGACGTTAATGGTAATCTAACAACCAAGCTTTATGATAATCGTGATGACTTTAACTTTTCAATCGTCAACTTCCCTTACTTATGCAGCAATATACCTTCATCACCTGCATACGGGGTATAGTTCTCTCAGTTGATTCGATACGCAAGAGCATGCTCTACGTATGTACAATTTCTAAAACGAGGTAAATTATTGACAAACAAGTTGATGAAACAAGAATATCAGCTGTCTCGTTTAAAGTCATCATTTCGTAAGTTCTATGGTCGATACAATGACCTTGTCAGCAAATACAATATATCATTGAGTCAAATGCTGACTGACATTTTTCATACAAATTGTTAGGCCATTATTTACACACTGAATTGTCGACGGATTTTTCCGTTATTTCACGATCATGACAAGGAGCACGCGGCGGGTGTGACCGGTCGGCAGGGGATGCTTACTCCTCCATGGCACCTGATCCCACCTCTGATGTTTGGAGGTCCGTGTTTGCTCTGCTCCTATTTTGTGTTGTTTGATGGACTTTTGAGCATGAATACTGTTCGTTATCTATATATTTCATTTTAAAATTCCTACTCTAGCTCAGATATAAAAGCAAAAGATATAAAGCACTTGTAATATTAAAATATGAAAAAAATCTATATAGATGTCCCAGAAGGGTACCTCGTGCAATTAAAGTGGGGAATCCCCTCGCGAAAGAGCACATGGATCCCGAAATAAAAAAAAATATTTCGGATCTATAAGCACGCATTCATTCACCCACATACACGCACGTTACTTTATCCCCTATAACTTTGTTACGAAGGGATAATAACACCTCATGTCACTACTGGACGAAGAAAGTGCTGAGAATCCCAAATTTTACTGATAATGTTTGATAATTACTGATACGGTGCTGTTCTTGCTGATAAATAATGATATTACTGTTATTATTCCTGTCGTTGCTGATAATTTTAGTTGTTTCTGATAAATACTGATAATTACTGTCGTCTTTACTGTGGAGTCTGATAAATACTGATAAATACTCTTGATGTGCTGTCGATGCTGAGATTTACTGATAATTACTGTGGTCATTGTTTTTAATCTGGGAAGGGACTAAAATTGCCTAAGAAATGATTATTTGTTTTAAAGAAAGTATTTTATCAACAAATTCATTACAGTATTCTAACGAAAAAAAATTATTTTAGAAAAAAGTCACATTTTATTTGCTTTCATATTTCATGTATTGATTTTATTAAAATCATTTTTACATCAAAATGTTAAAATTAGATCATAAATGTTTGTGTTTTTCTTTACCTTTATATTTCTCCTTTCACAAAGTTTTCAATATCTGCGGAAAATAATAATTGTGTTGTTATTGCAGTGATTTTTCTCCCCCAAGTACTTTTTAAAACAAGTTTTTATTTTTAAAGGTTAAAAAAATCCCATCTCATATTTTTTCCACGTGTATTTGTATTGTCATCAAAAGCTTTTAGAGGGCATCTTTAATATAGTCAATGGTTGTTATTGTCAATTTATTTTTTCGTGTGGAGAACTGAACATGTATGAGCTCTATAAGTTGAGACCGCCCCCCTCCCCCTCTATTTACATACAACTCTCATTTTAAGAAGACACTTTAGCCAGTATTAAATATATCTCACAAAAAAATCTAATCTGATTTTATGTTGTATACACTATGTCCTTTTATTGAAGAATGTGACAGGTTTAAATAATGAAAATAAACCATCTTTAATTTGTAGAATAATCTCTTTTATATACATATAGCCAGTGCGCTCTAGTTTTCTGATTATGTCCTCGATGCAAATTTGATATCATTGTGTGGTATCGACGCTTTCTATCTTTCTTTTTATTATTATTATTATTATTTTAATTGTTAAGCCATCAGTACACTATAAATCTTATGCAGTGTGATTTTCAGTCAATGAAATACACGTCTTTCTTTAATTCTTTGTTAATAGTACATAAATCTGCGTTAGGTCTATGGACATACGCCAGTATGAGGGAGATCAATAAGTAACTGCTTATACATGTTATACGCGGTCAGTCAGTTAAAAAAAACAAAACAAAATAAAATAAAACAAAACTTGAAGTTACTTTCGTCCATTAATGCCGTCTAGCTAAATTGCTGTTCATGGCCGTAGGAACCGGGGGGGGGGGGGGGGGGGGGGTAGGCCCCCCCAATAATTTTGCTAATATATAGAATACTATAGAAAACTTAGCTACTATATGCTTGTGCCCCCTCAATAAAAACGGCTGATAAACTTATTTTTTTTTTGTTTCTTTTTTTTTGCTTGCTTTTCAAGGAATTTTGGTAGTTGATAGTGCCCCCTCAACTGAAAATGTTTGGCTATGCCACCCCCCCCCCCCAACTGAAATTGCTTCCTACGGGCCTACTGTTCTGGAACAGTTACACACATGTCAACCACGTGTAAAAGTTCTACTTTCGTTTTGAGAATCGGGTCAATTATTAGTACATTCTTCGTGCGACATGAATTTTGTAAAATTAGAAAT